AATCACGGTCTAGAAGCTGACCTCCCTTATGCCCAATGAGAGAAAACAGAATAAACCTTGTGTTTCATTGCCTGCGATGGTGCAGAAAGTTGGTTCAAACTGAGCTTTTGATCACATCAAAATCGTGTTTCATCCGTTTATTTATTTTTTGTAAGGCTACGGGCGTACAGCAATGCCCTTTAAGCTTGTTTGCTCCTGACCTGAGAATTAAAAAAAATAGCCTTTTTTTATTTCATCCTCACACTGTAAACAGCTGTTATTTCGACAGGTGGCCCAAACCACCTCCAGAGCATTTATTTATTCTAGTGGCGGAAAGAAACGTGACTTTTCTGTGCTACGAAGTAAGATAACGCTGCATAATAAATGGGCTAAATGAAATACAAAATGCACCTGCATCACTTGGTCTGGATCAGCAGAGATGTTGATACAGAGTGCAGGAAACACAAAACCTCTCCATGACCCAGTGACCCCAAAACTGTTCCTTCATACTTGACTGTTTTTGCAAACTTTGCAATCTGCTATCAACTGTCTTTTATCACCATTACTAGGAATGGAGTTTTTTATTATTATTATTATTATTATTATTATTATTATTATTATTATTATTATTATTATTATTAGGGCTTAGTCCACTAAAATTGTTTAACTTTGTTTTAATAACCCATCAGTGTCTGCAAATAATTTCAGTTTCTACTTTTGTGTGATCCGTATTGGTTACATTTAGACTTTGTAACCAATTTTTAGGGCAAGTTGGGCTGATGGTGACAGAGGAGTTATGTGTCCGCCCCAGAACCGCAGGATTGCAGGTTTGAGCACGGCTCAGTCTGTCGTTGTTCTTGGGTAAGACTTACTTGCCTGCTGGTGGTGGTCAGAGTGGCCAGGCTATTTACCATTTTACCATTTACAAAGTAAAGGAAACGTAATATGATTGGAGTGGTGCAGTCTGACATCAGAGAAAACCATAACTGTCCTGGGATTTTCAAAATAAAAGCACTCGTGCAGTATAATGGGTAAACATTTCTCTTTTACTGTTTAAATTCCTATTAAAGGCACAGTCTGTACTATTTTGACTTGTGTAGGATCACATTTTGTGTATCTAGATTACAAACTTGTCCTTTTTCATCAATAACTCTTAACATCTATTCTAAATGTTTCTGTTGGCTTGAATGTTTGTATACATAAACTGGTTAACTCTCCACAGTCATGAACCATCTTCAAATACCGTAGCTGTTTAGGGACATGCAAAAAAAGTTTTGCGTTTGCGCTTTGACGTGAAAGTTCTCCATCTCCCTGCAAATATTGTGCATGGCATGGCGCTGGTTCTGTCTGTGGCAGCCTTGCTGGGTTTGGGAAATTATGTCCCTTCCCCTTAGGTCGCTTGCTCTGCTCTAACCTCATGTCATCACTGGATGGACAGCTGGAAGTCGATGTTTGTGGCGGAGCACGCACAGCTGTGGCGAAAGGAGTGGACAGCAGCAATAGAAGCAGTAGAGACACCGACTGCAGGAGGCAGAAATTATAAATGTTGTGGTGTCTGTGTGACCAAGAGGAAGCAGTCAGTGCTGCAGTGTCTCCCTCTCCCCCGCAGCCGTGCAGGTACCACCACAATGACCTATTGCCTTTTTGATACATGTGGGCTCCCTTTATAGGGCGTTCACATATGGGTCGGCCCAGCCCAGCTCTGGTAGGTAAAATTTGTTCACATCTGGGTAATCTGTGCGTTTTTTCATGCTCAGCCAACTGAAAATGTCAGACCTGCTCCCCAGCGGTCAGCTTCGTGTGGAGCCAATCCAACACACCCACTGAAGTTCATGCCTACCTACTAGAGAATGTGACTGGTGGGTAAAATGGGCTAGCAGTGGCTTCCCATATGCGTGATTCATAATCAGTCTGCGTGCACGTGCACATCTTTTCTGACTGCAGCTCGGAACCACTGCTCCAGCCACAGTAGCACAAGGACAGGCTGCTGTGAGGAGCACACAGCACTCTCAGTGAGACAGTAGGGAACCATGTGCTTCATATCGGAGACTCTAAAAGCCAACACTGCTCACGGCTGCCCTGGTTTACTTATTTAACCCTTTGATGCATAATGGTCACTACAGTGGACAGGTACTCAAAATTGTTATTTATTTATTTTTGCTATTAAGTACAGCTGTTGAAGACGTTATTGCATGTGAGCCCCTCCGTTTGGGCTTCAGCAAGTCAAGCCAACATATTTCATGCTCAGAATGCACGCGGTCCACTGAGGTGGACATGTAATAAATTATTTGTAAATTAACAAAATGTTACAAAAAATATTTGTTGAAATTTGTTTCATTCACACCTAAAGATGAATGAAAAAAATTGTTTAAAAAATCTTGGTTGAAGATTTCATAATTCATGCATCAAAGGGTTAAGGGGAACACCATGGACTTCTCCATGCTTCTTTTGCCCCGCCCACTTGTCCGAAGACATCTGCGTTCCTGAGAAGGCTGTGAATAATATTGTGAATAAAACTAGGCCGCAAGGGTGGGCCAACCTAAACAAGACTACAGTTGCAGTACTTACTCTGAACTGTATGGTGACACTGGGGGCTTAAGGAATAACATGGGGAGGTTAACTTAACTCCATATTTGAACACAAATGGCTGATGGAAAGAAGGTAAGGGTGCACTCATGGATGTAATTTTCACTTTAGAAGTGGGGGGGACATGGGTGGGGTGGGTAGAAGTGGGGGGGACATGGGTGGGGTGGGGGGTATCTTTACAGTATGTCAGTGGCGTGTCCAGATCTTTTAAAATGGGGTGGCCCAGGCGAGGCACACCTTTGTGCATGGGTGGCACCAATGGTGATGGACAATGAAAAGCCTATTTAAAAGTAAATTAGTGTGGTGGCACCTGGGGTGGCCAATCAGATTCCAAGGGCGGCATGTGCTACCCCAGGCCACTGCCCGGACACGCCCCTGCAGTATGTTCTAATGGGAAACAGGCTTCAACACAAATGGTTGCTTTCTGCTTGATCCTATAGCTCAACTAGTGTCAATTTAATATAGTGTAATATTGTTTTTGGATGGTAAAAAGTGCAGGGGTCAAAACTTGACTTTGGAAAAAGTGTGTGTGTGTGTTGGGGGGGGGGGGGGGTTGGGGGGGCAACACCCACATTTTTCTTATTGAGATCGTTCAACTGACACCCTCACTTTTCCAGCTGTTTTGCTCACTTCCACACCAGTCTGGTTTCTTTATGTCGCACTCACTCTGTTTGCCTCATCTCCTTCTTCACCTCCCGCTTCTGACAGCCGAAGTCGGGTTTCAATGAGAGCAGGAGAGGGAGGGACGGAAGAGCTCGACTGAATTCATAATTTTACATCTTGACATTAGCTGTACAAAGTCTGAGTTTGATAGAGTGAAGAACAACAATTTGCAGAGGTTTATAACAGGCGCGGCGCCAGGTTTTCATTTTTGGGTGGGCCACGGTAATTCTGGACGGACCTTAATAAGCAGTGACTTAAGTGAAGCAGGCAGGTCGCGCTAGAAAATTTAGTTTAAAAAGACGTCATAAATGTGTTTCCCTGTCATTTTAATTTCTAAAATATGAAGTAAAACCTCACAATTTAATTTTCATTCATTTGTCATTAATATGTAGTCTACACCCGTGCGTTAAGTGGACCATCTTCCAGTAAAAGCAAAGCATCCAGCCCACCTCTCCAAATGCGTAAAATGTGCATCAGCCGCTAGTTAGGAGCGCCGCGCGCACCGTCAGCTACATCAGCCCAGACAAGAGCAGAGCAAATAGAGAAAGAATAGAGGATAATTCTGTCTGGATGTGGATGGAGATTACATTTTACAGCAGCGTGATCATTGTTTGGTTAAATACGTAACCCATCACCTGTCATCTAGTCCACGCTATCAGCATTATTTTAATAGGTGTGTGTGTGTGTGTGTGTGTGTGTGTGTGTGTGTGTGTGTGTGTGTGTGTGTGTGTGTGTGTGTGTGTGTGTTTTTTCCACTTCAAACACTGGTCTAACCAACCAGACCAGCGTATTAGAGACGGGAACAAGCGCTGTTCAGCCAAAGTTTCATAATTAGAGAACATTTTTCCAAGTGACACATCCCTCAGAGAGACCGGCTTTCCAGTCCGCTTCAGTGGGAGGAAATCTTACCGCTTACCGTGGTTCTGCACTGCGCTGCGAACCCCTCTATAGATCTTCAGCCCACTGTCCACCGTGTGCGCTCCGAGCCGTGCTGAGCACAGTGTCCAGTATAAAGCTCTGACGTTCCGATGGGAATCATTTCTTGATTGATTTAGTTACCTCCGCGATGTGCGTTAACGATTAAAATGTCAGCTCATCCATGCGCATCAGTGTGTGTCGGGGTAATTCTTTCAAAACAACCAACATCCTTGAGTTTATCGGTCAAAATAAACAGTCAAATGGAAATATCTGTAACCTGCCATTTAACTGTTTTGCCTTCTTGTGAAGATTGTTGCAAAGAGAAACAATTAAACTTGATTAACCCCAGAGCCACGCGCACTGCTCTGTACTCCGTGACTGTAAAATGAGGGGGAAACGATTTAATCGGATCCTTTTTTTTTTCAACATGGATTAATGTAAAGTTTCATTCAGTACAAACTTCAGTTACACCAATCTAACGAGACAGAGCCTGGATTTGTATTCTGAACAGTTTAAACATGTTTAAAACGGAGACATGTGCGACACGTCTAAAATTCGCACCTGCTCCGCTATTATGGAAATTAAACTAACAAGATGAATAACATAAAATTAGTTTAGGCACAGACAACATCCCCCACACTTTTGAAAAGCTTGCAACGCGCCTGGCTAATCCTGACCCCCAGAACCCCAAGCTTTGCCACCTTAAAAAAAATCGTAGATCCGCCCTGAAGAATTTGGGAATAAGCCTCTCTTTTTCTTCCCCTCATTCCAGAACCAGCAGACATCACCACTATAACAATTACTATAAATAACTTCATTGATGACATTAATTCAGTCTTTGATCCATAACTCACCACGTGACGCGTGGAGATCTTCTGCTCCCCCTCTGAGCACTTCTGCTCTCCGTTGGTCCTGCTGTAATCAGGAGGTTGCTGGTTCGATCCCCGGCTGCCTTTAGCCTTACGGTTCCCTGGACCTTGGTGGACGATGTTGAGCAGATGAAGCGTATTCTCGTGTTCCCGGTCCAAGCTCTCGGCCTGGCCCCTCTGGTAGCGGTTCTCGCAGGTGGAGTGGTGCCTCCTGCACTGCTCGATGCGGGCGCGCAGACGCTCCACGATGGCGTTGTGCAGCTGAGGAACCGCGGAGCCTCTGGAAGGGCCCACCATGGGTCCGCCACCGACCCCACCGGGCAGACCTCCCATCCCGACACCCAACATGGGCACAAAAGTCCCCGCGGCGGACTGAGCCGGGGTCGCTTCTCCCATCATAGCCGCAGATCCCTGATAAGTTTGCAAACGCTCAAGTCCTCTGAGCCACAATCATGAAAACAAAAGCGCCATGAAATAAAAAAATATACATATTAATAAAGCAACTTATCGAAAGACGTCACCAATTATATATATTTTTGGTCAACCTGTTATAAAAAGAATAAATGTATAAAGAAAAGTGTATCCAAATGAAATGTGTCTTTAAAAAGTCTCAAAGTTGCAGTTTGGTGTTATTTCCCAGCCTCGTCAGAGTCCGCCTATAATTAAATGTGAAATGATTTACGAACATGAAAGAGTCGCAGCAGGATGGATCCGCTCTGCCTTAACGACGCGACCTCTGCGCAAAGATAAACGGGCTGCGTTCAGCATGAATCCCTCGGATGATTCAGAAGCGCGGCACGCACACGCAGTTTCACCAGAACGGCTCACGCCACATCCAAGAGGAACGTTTTCAGCTAAATCTGGATTCCTCTTCCTCACGAGGAGCCAGGCGTCTGGAAGTCAGCGAATCTCCCCCATCAAAATAATAATAATAATAATTTAACGAGGGAAGGAATCCCTCAAAAAATACACTCAGAAAAAAAAAATCACAAAACTTCCAAGACTCACGACATCATTGTTTGGAAAAGAATCCTTCCGGTCTGTTTTCCATCTCCAACCAGAGAGGAATGTGGACGTGAGAGCGCAGAGAGGCGAAGCGCGAGAAGCCGTTATAGGAACCGATTCAGATCCGTCTCAAACAGTCCATTGACAGTCATTTGTCCGTGTGGTAGACCGAGGCAGCAGCAGGGCTGCTACACAGACCCTCATTGTATCAACATTCCTCCTTTGACATGATGCACTCTTATGGGAGAAGCTGGGCACAAAAGCCCCCTCCAGTGGCGGAAAGGGGGAACTTCTCTCCAAGGGAAGTAAAAGACATTCAGAGATTTCTTGTTGTGTTTGGGGGGAAAAAATCTTTCATAAGAAAATGGGACTTGTTTTTATTTTTTATTTTTTGCTCCAGTTTAGTTTAGTTTTGGTTTTTAAACATTTTGAAGCTCGAAGCGGAACTATTAACTGTCTTTGGGTTGCTGATGTTCAGCAGCACACACCTTTCCTTGATGTTTACAAATGGGACTGTCATTGCTTATTGCTGATTTCAACATGATTATTTTAAAGGATTTTTTTTCAATAATCTTGCTTCAATAAGACTGGTGTTGGAATATCTTCCTAACATTTAAAGGTGTGGAAAACTAATTTAATCAATACATTTAATTTGCAGTGGTTTTATGTAGGAATAAATGGCAGAACATTGGAACTAGTGATCCACGTCACAGATGAGCTTTTGGAGTCTTATTTCCTGATATTTGGACATCTCTCCTCGGATTGGATAACAGCAGCACGGCGCTACCTCTGACTTGCTACATAGATGTTTTGTCTCCACAAATAACACAAGCCTGAATGCTTTCTGCTGTGATGTGATGTTTCTACTAGCCGGAACGTTCTCTGCTGTTTTCTGGGCGCTAAACCATCAACACGTCAAGATAAGTGAGTCCATGAATGTTATTAAGTGACAGTGTGACATAGATCTGTCAGGTTTTTCAAGTCCTAGAGATTCAGTCTATTTTTTATCAGAAGCTAATGCAGGAGATGGGTGTAAAAGACTATTTTCATGTTCAGCCTGCATGAAAAATCTCAGTGACTAATTTTTCATAATCAGAAAAAAGATTAAAGTTTTTTTCAGTGTTCCACACCTTTAATGGCAACTCCTAAAGAGCAAGTCACCCCCATATCAACCTTTTTATTTTATTTTATTTTATTTTTTGCTGACAAACAATATAAATGAGTGTCTGATTGTGCTGTACACGTAGTTAATAATTTTGCACTTTAGTGCATCTTAGTTAAAATTTAAATATTCTGTCTAAAACTGACAGTGTTGCGCCCCCCTTAGGTAAAAACTCTGCACTACATTTGAATTTAAATCTGCCATCGCTATTGGCTAAGAGGTACCCTATGACGTGAGCTGGTACCACATGATGTCACAATGCAGCTCTGTGTGTGTGTGTGTGTGTGTGTGTGTGTGTGTGTGTGTGTGTGTGTGTGTGTGTGTGTGTGTGTGTGTGTGTGTGTGTGTGTGTGTGTGTGTGTGTGTGGTGGGGGCTCTGTCCTCTCAGTCTGCTAGGCAACACCTCTTTGTGGCTCAATTTTCAAACAGGAAATAGGAGTGGAGTTATGCTCTGGTAGGCGGTGACCTTGCTCGTTAATGATGCCCAGTAAGCCATGCCTAAATCTGTTTTCTTTTAGTCTCAACCTGTGTTTCATTGCAGTTTTCTCATTTCTAAGTGATAAGTAATAAAGAACCTGCACTTGTAGCACCTTTCTGAGTCAGAGGACTTCAAAACACTTTACAGTACCGTCAGCCATTCACCCATTCATACAATGAGAGCGATGAGCTACAATGAAGCCGCAGCTGCCCTGGGGCACACTTGCATTGCATTTTAAAATCCTAAACCTCATCAGAAACTATTTGAAGTCAATCATGCTCCCCTTCAACTAAACCAGTATTGTTGCATTCATGGCAACGACTGATTAGTCACCTGTGCTACAAGATATAACCATCGACATAAATATATGGACAATGGGTTTCCGTAGACTCCAATAATAAGTTTTTCTGCTAAAATGGGAGGTGGCCACCACTGCCATTTTGACCATGTCACAGGTTCCGTCAAGCCCAGAAAATTCCATAAAAGGGAAGAGAGGTGGAGCTGAGGGTGGGGCTGTAAGGCTGGAATCGACTGACGACACCCGGTCGAACTAGCTACAAGCTAACCTGAAGCTAACCCAAAGCTAATGCGGAGGTGGGAGCTAAGCTAACGGAGGTAGCAACCTAGTTACAACCGGAGTTAACTGTGCACAACACCAGAGCTTCTGGGTCAGAGATACGCCGAGCTGACCGCTGGGTAAAACCGGGTGGAACACAGAGGTCTCCCGAGAGCTCCACAAGCTGGCAGCCGCACAGCAGACAAGTGCCGCTGCGATCTGAGATGCGCAGCGCTGCCGCTAGGGAGAACTGGGTGGAAAGGTTTCCATCTCAGAGCTCCACAAGCCGTATTAGCAACTGCTTAATGCATTATTTAATAGACCCCCCCCCCCCCCCCCCCCCCCGGCCCTTTGTCTTAACTGTAAGGACATTTAATAGTTAACAATAGTAATGTTAATAAAGAAACCCTTATTTTAAAGTGTTACCAAGTTTTTTGTTAATATTTTAACTTCTATACCAAGAAAATGGCAATGAAATGTATTAATTTATTTTCAAATTTATTTTTATTTTGGTCCGTTGGAGTTATATAATCCAATGTAAGGTAATATTTTTCATTGTTTATGTAAAATTCCCATTATTTCAGTATAATGTGCACCAGTGAGATATAGGGAATAAAATACACCCTACCAAGTGGTTTAAAGCTAAAACTTGAAAAAAGTAAAACTATCCATTCGGACCAGAACCTCTCAACACAAGAACAGTTTCTTCCCCCTCTGCAGTTGAACTCATGAATGAAAATCGTACAACTCCCCACGCCAATTGCTTTGTCTCAGTCACATGACCTTGTGTTGTTTACACCTGAACTGATCTGCTCTGATCGGGACCGACACTGTCTTGTGTACCTGTATATAGTAGCTATTCTCTTATTATTGCCACTTTATAATATAATTTTATCGTGATTATTTGCTTCTTTCATATATTTTTTTACCTCTTATTTTTCTTTCCTTTGCACCAAGTATTGCAGCAATTTCCTAACGTTGTGATTTCTCGCTCAAATGGTAATAAAACCCTTCTGATTCTGATGCATTTAAGAAGTTTTAATAACGGCTCTATGTGTAGAAAAACAGTGTTTTGGTTCGAATGCCAAGAAGAAACTTCAATGCCAACTTTTAACTTCTTGATTTATTTTATGTCCACAGTTCAAATCTAACATTTTACTGGAATAACAAAAACTTTCTTTATATCCCAAATGACCTGTACCACATTTATCATCATCATCATCACACTGGCTTTTTGTAATGTTAAAAAAAGGTACATCAATGTTAGTAGAATTTTCCTCATTTTACAATTAACTGCAAAACACATAATAAATTAATAAGTTAACACACAAGCAGTTTCCAAATGCTTTACAGTAGTAGCAATAACAGTGGTTAAAAAAACTGATGTCTAAGTGCAGCGTGTCAACGACAGATCTGAGCTGTGGTTGAACACACCGTGACTCACAGTCTAGCACAACACACACACACACACACACACACACACACACACACACACACACAGTTCCCCCTGCTCACTGCGGAGAGCTCTAGATAATAAATTACATCCATTTCACTTCAGAGATTGACGGGCAGCTCCTCTTCAATCCTTTCTTCTCTCTTTGCAAATCAGTTCGCCTGGGAATGTTTTCACAAGCCCAACGTCAATGACCTGCCATCCCGTTTTTGGGAATATCTCAATAAAAATTAAATACAACACACATTAATTTAACCTGTTCTCATCTGTGTAACACTTTGCTGACATAAATCAGTTTAAAAACAAACAGAGAAATAAAAAGATACAAAATAAAACCGTAAAAAATGGTAGAAAACATTAGAAGGGAATATTTGACAACCTCACCCAGGCTTACATGGCTGTACTACTCTTAAAAACGGGGATTCACCCCTCAGTGGTTCCAGCCCACAGTGCAATACTGGACTTTACCTGAACTCATCATTCAGTTCTTCTAAATACAACATGGTCCTTGTTTGAATAATAACCGAAAGAATTAAAAATCCTCAAAGGCAAACTGTAAAAGTGAAATAAAAAAATTTAAGGCTAATTTGAAAGAAATTTTTGAAATTCTGACTGAGGTATTTTAGTGCACGTTTTGTTCAGTCAGAGGCATTTTTATATTTGTAATTATGGTCGTCATAGACATACTGTTTCTACAGCAATATATGGACTCTAGGTATAAAAAGTACCTGCTTCACTTTTCCTTCAGTTTTCTTGGTCAGTGCACATTTACAATGGAACACGTTTGAATTTGATCTACAGTAAACTCACATCTGGAGCCGTTCTATACATCTGCACACGGTTTGGTTACTGCACCCAAATTTTCGGCCCGCCGTCTGGTTGGCGGTTCTGAAATCAAATTTGGGCTCATTTTTAATGGAAACCAAGGCAACAGTCATGTACAGCTATCGTTAGTGAATCAGACACAGGCCCTTTGCATAAACAAATGGCTATTTTTCCTCTTTCCTCTCCCCAGACATGCACCGCTGAGCTGAAATGATCGCTTACAGTGGAAATAATCCCCTTGCTGCTTCTGCAGGACTCAGCACAAATGACAGATTGAAGCGAGGAGAGAAAGTCTGCCAAGTACGCCAAACAGGAGACCGCCTTGGCAATTCCTGAGAGCTATAAGCGTTCTGTCACAGTATGCTAAAATAGTTATTGATTGGTTAGCCAGTGCTGCTATTTTAAGTGGCAGCATTTGAGGAAATCAGTGAGCAGAAACAAACAAAATGAGTGGCTGCAGAGGGATGGCGTGACGGCTTTAATCATATGATGCATTTATGCAGATTGGACTGACAGTGAGGATAATGTATATTTTTATCTAACAGTTTGTCTTTGAAGCTTTGGCAGGACAGTCTGCCTCTATGGCCTGATATCCTGCATGCAAGCAGTGCACTGCAGTACTATTTATCAGAAAACAGGCATAAGATATTTATGGCTTCTTGCCAAGAAAGTCAGGTCCTAAACGAACCTCAGTAATAATTATGGTAGTGATATGGAGCTTAGTTGTGGGCTGTTTTTTGGTCATTTTTGTACAAGTCAGCGTCAGGACTTTACTCCTTTAACAGGTTCAGCTGACTGTCGCACATCTGTCCACTCCTGCATCGTGTTTTGTAGAGCCTGGGTCTTCTCTTTGTCGACCTGAACGTAGTCCACCTTCTCATCAGACGTCACAGAGGAGGTAGAGGGCTGTGGAGGGACCAGAAGGATAGAGATTATATGGAGCGCTGCTCTCATGGTCTGCCTGTATCTGTCTTGTCTATATGTGTGTGTGTGTGTGTGTGTGTAACCTTGGTCAGGTTGTACTGTGGAGTCAAGTTCCTACGCTCTGAAAGGAGCGCTGGCAATAAAATTCTTCTGATTCTTCTGATTCTGATTCTGATATATGTATATATATGTATATGTATATATGTATATGTATATATGTGTATATATATATATATATATATATATATATATATATATATATATATATTTATATATATATAATATATAAAACAAAGGGGCCCTTATTGTGGAGAGTTACCTAAGTTTTTCAAAAGCTGAGTCATTAAGTAGCAATGTTATATAGGACACCTCATATACATAATACAGTAAAAAAACTATAACCTTATTTAGCCACTTTTAATCTTTATTTATGAAATTACAATTACTGACCAACTTGCATTTAAATTCAAAATGCCATTAAATAATTCAACAAACCTACCAAAATAAAAGCAGGGTGAAGAGATTCCTTATTTAAGGTCTCAGAGTTCCTTTAATGATAAGATTGAGAGCCCATTATTAATGTTCCCGTCTGTGTTTGACTTGCACATTGACATGATCCACACTAATCAATTCTTCAATGAGTTTGAGACATTACATAGGGGATCTCTTAGCCTTTGCTATTTTTGGTAGACTAAATCTGTTTTGAAGCTGTCTAAATTAATGGTAAAGAAATATTCAGTCTGAAATTTCCACATTTATAATTGGATTTAGCTCCATCTGTAGTTTTATGTGTTAATATTTAGATTTGATCATGGAATTTAATCTAAATGCGATGAAGTTTGGTTGTTTTAACTTATTAGTTTAAGACCTAGTCCACACGTAGCCGGGTTTTTTAAAAACGAATATCCGCCCCTCCAAAAACGTGCATCCACACCACCACGTTTTAAAAACAAACTCTGTCCACACGTACCCGGATAAATACGTTGTTAAGGACATGCCAGACCTGCAGGCGGCAGTACTTCCCCCGTTCTTAACCTCGTCCTTCGTCTGTGGTCTTCCGTAAGGAGCAGTAACTCCGTTTGCAAAAACAAACAAGCAAAAAGCGCTTGGACAATTGATGGATCAGGCAGTGACAGAGCGCAGCTCTGAGGGCTTCCATGATGTCGGCTAGTGTAAACACAGGTCGCACACATGATGTCAACATTTTTTGGTCGCGGAAAGTGACGTTGCGGACCTTAAAACTCCGGTTATGTCCGTCCACACGCAGACACCCAAAACGGAGAAAACGCAGATCTTCACTTTGGCTGGAGTTTTTAAAAAGATCCGTTTTCGTGTGAAAAAACTCCGTTTTCGTGTGGATGACAGGCCAAAACGTAGAAAAATATCTACGTTTTGGCAGATCCCCAGCTACGTGTGGACAGGGCCTAAATCAATGCCCTATAGGGAGCCTGAGGCCCTGTCCACACGTAGCCGGGGATCTGCCAAAACGTAGATATTTTTCTACGTTTTGGCCTGTCATCCACACGAAAACGGAGTTTTTTCACACGAAAACGGATCTTTTTAAAAACTCCGGCCAAAGTGAAGATCTGCGTTTTCTCCGTTTTGGGTGTCTGCGTGTGGACAGACAAAACCGGAGTTTTAAGGTCCGCAACGTCACTTTCCGTGACAAAAAAATGCTGACATCACGTGTGTGACCTGTGTTTACACTAGCCGACAGCATGGATGCCCTCAGAGCTGCGCTCGCTTTATCAATTGTCCAAGTGGTTTTGCTTGTTTGTTTTTGCAAGCGGAATTACTGCTCCTTGCGGAAGACCACAGACGAAGGACGAGGTTAAGAACGGGGGAAGTACTGCCGCCTACAGGTCTAGCATGTCCTTAACAACGTATTTATCCGGGTACGTGTGGACAGAGTTTGTTTTTAAAACGTGGTGGTGTGGATGCACGTTTTTGGAGGGGCGGATATTCGTTTTTAAAAAACCCGGCTACGTGTGGACTAGGCCTGAGTCACGCCCATCTTCTTCCGGACCATGGGTCCCCAGTGGAATGAATAAACGCTATTTTCTAATTCCGCTTATGTGCCATGGATTTCACACATGATGTCCGTGAATTAAAAAAAAAAGCATTTTGAGAACATGAAAGCGCATATTTTCGAATGGGGTGAAACGCTATTTTAGGTTTTGTGTGAAAATAAGTCCAGTACTACAAATGCGCTTCATAAAAGTGATGTAATCGAACCAGACATGGAGAAAAACAGGGAAAATGGCTGTAAGTTCAGCAAACTTCAAATCCTTCCTTCAGGAGGAAAGAACCTCCATAAATCTGGTCATGTGGTATGTAGCAGCTATGCTAGGGCAGAGGAGATTCTGTGGTGATATCACATATGTGACTTACTGATCTCTGGTGTGTAGTCATGCTAATTACGAACTTTTATAAGCTGATAAATCTCACAGTACGTGACAGGCATGGTTCAATTACTTTTTATTTAAATGGAAGTACAACATATATGTGATCCAGGGCGTAAGGCAAAGCGGATTAGAAGATAGCTCTTTTAGCTCCGTTGACTTGCATTAAATTTTTTTGTTCTTCCGGGGACCCATGAGCCGACTGGAAAGGGAGGAGACTTAGGCTCCATATAGGATTAGGATTCTTGTGAGTACAAAAAGTGCCATAATAAAAAATGGATAAACTAAGTTAAACCTATTTGCTCACTTTTCTATGTGGACTGGGTGAGCCAGGCTGGAAGTCCAGGGCCAAGTAGTCCACGTTCCCACACTTCCGAGGGGCCGGGCTGCTGGTCCCACTCACGACTGGGGAGGTAGATGCTGGATTTTGCTGATGTTAAAAGAAGGTTTCGGTCACACAATGACGTAAACAAGCCAATCAAAAATCCACCTCCCGTCCTCAAACTGGAACTTACCATAGGTACATAATTCTCCTCGCTGTCTGCTGAGTCGGTGCTGGTGATGCTTTGAGTGGAGATGGGTCGACAGTGCTGGGAGGAGTTAATCGCAGGCCTAAGGAAAAACGCAAAAGACTGTGAGAAACATCAGAAAAATGCTGTAACAATTATGTGTGAGTAACGTTGGGAAATCTGTGACAAGTGTCTGGTTAAAAGCTCACATGGGCCGAGTCCATGACATGGTGACGGGGCTCTTATACGGCAGCTCGTCAATGATCCCATTGTTCTTCAAATCGAGAGGCGTTGGCTTTGCTGGAGAAAATCAGACCAGACATCTTTAACCAAACAATCCACAGAAAAAAAATAAAACTCTAGAAATCAACAATTAAATGAAAAGTTAAGTGTCTAAACGCTCACATTTCCTGTTAGGTTTGAGGTTGCGGTTGATTGGAGGTGGTGTTACATCGCTGAGACGACCGGGCCGGTGACACAAGGAGGCACTGCTCCCCTTGCGGGCAGGTAATGTTGCAGAGAACCCTGGGAAATCAAAGTGATGTGGCCCGGGGCTCATGGGAATGTAGATATTCTTAGGACTGTCGGCCTGGGCAGCACTGAGCGGCGAGGAACCAGGATTCATGGGCACGTAGTTGTCTTCGGAGTTACCGCTGTCTGAGCGAGTCAGAGGGGTGTGGGCCCTCTGATGTCAAAACACACACAAGTCACATGACTCTCTGTGCTCAATAATGTAAACAAACTGAGAAAATCCAAACAGAATCTTGGTTTTCATCTGTTTCCACAGATTTGAATGGCCATTCCTACCCACCAGGTATGAGCTGAACCCATCGTTGACCGACTCCACAGACTGGCCTGAGTTGTTGAAATGAAACAGTCGATGGTGGTTGTTGATTTCAAAGGAGGAACCTGTGATGGTTGAAAAGGAAGGACGATATTTCTTACCAAGCCATAAATTACATCAGCTTCCAAGACAAATACCACAGATGGATCAAAAATAGTGTAAAGCAGAAGACCTTCTGTGAACATGGAAAGTAAAGAGAACATTTTAGTTCTTTGCTATAATTATTTCATTGTCTTATTAACAATCCCAAATCGATTCTTCTCCCTGACAATGCAACAATTATCAAACACTAGGAGGCAACGCATTGTGCCTGCGAGTGCCTTTTTTTAAAAACTGCCCATCAGTCTGAAGCGAGGCATTCTGGATCAGGCTGTATGACTTGAATTTCATTAGTGCCTCAACCCAGCAGTGTCCGCTACACTGAGCTCTTTGTTTCTGCTCAGCTTCTTGACTAAAATCAGCAAAACAAGAGATAAAAGAGGGAGAGAAAGGAGGAAAAGGAGGTGCAAAGTCACCGCAGCACAACAGTAGGATGGGGCTGATCGTGACAGGGCTGCATTTGAAATCAGGAAATGAGGGAATATTGTGATGTTTAAAAACATCTGGTTGTTGAGATTGGTTAAAAAAAACAGCTGCTGCAAGTGGACCTACCTCTGTGCAGCCTGATGTTCTCAACAGCGGGGAGGGTATTCCTGCGAGGGATGACTGACACTGCAGGCGCCGTGTCTCCATTCTGACTTCCAATGGATTGGGGACTCCCCCACTGCCCTTCAGACCCCTGGCTAGGTTTAGGGGGCCTGGGAGGAGGGGCGCAGGACGACTCTGAGCTGGAGGGCGTCAAGGAATTGTGATTCTTGTCAAATGTTCGAGGGATCTGATAGAAGGAGCCAGGCGTCGTTGGAAGGTCATAATTGTCAGGCGATCGCTCGTTCCCGTGGATCCTCGCAAGGGTGTTGCAAGGGGTCTTGAAGGTGTACACCTCCTCATTATCAAAATCACCATCGCCCAGATTGCTGTGAGATGGCGCCTCGGAGCTGTAACCCCGTGGGAACACATAGCAGGCCTCCTGGAGGGAGTCGTCGTGCACAGATAGGTGATGCTTCCCAGGTTTGGGAAGGCTGTAGAACCCATGTGGCTGAGCACCCGTGCCGTTTACAAAGTGTGAAAATCCATAAGAAAGCTTCTGCACTGGAGAGTCGTTCCCCAACAACACGTTGCTTCGTATGGACTGGGAGAAACTGGCACTCCTGCAACAAAGACACACTCAGATCAGAAGAGTTTCCTGAATTATTGGCGTCACTATCTAAATGACCACTAGATGGTGCCATAGCACCTCCTCTTTTCCTCTAGTTCTTGGCACATATTTAAACTCCACCATAAATCTCGATCTAACGCCTGAGCAGAATGAATTTTAGTATTTTGTATGATCTTCCTGAGAGCTTTTCCTCTTTATCACATTCTACACACAATGACAAGGAGAAGGGCGTTCGTGTTAACAAAAGCAAATGCTACAGCTTTCCCAGAGTTTCTCAGCCTCTGTCAGGCTCCCAGAGGACATGCCTCATTTGCTCTCTCCTTTACAAGGCTTGACCTTGAGTACCAACAAGCGCAGCCCTTACAGCTCAAATATTTCTGGACAGTTAGTTGAGCAATAGCCCAATTTAGTTGGCCAATGCAAATGCTTGGTGTTTTTCAAACCCATCTCTGCTAAAAACGCGTGAAAATGAGTTTTATAGCATCTTTCTTATGTAAAATCTGCACAACAAATGCAACATACTATATAAACAACTTGCTTTTTTGTGTCAAATTGCACACAGCGCTTCGCTGATTTGTATTTCATTTTGTCTCTCATTGATTTTAGCCATTGAACAATTTTTCATCTGTGGCTGAGAGGGAGCTTTTCCCATGAATTATTTCAGATCACTGGTCATCAGATTCATGGAGTTCTACCCTGACATGAATCATACCCCGTCAGCAGATGCCCGTCTTAATTAGCCAGCTCATGAAGCAGAAGCTCAGGATGGAAATGTTTTACATAAAGCTGTTGAGATGGATGGGGCGGTTTGATTTTCTGGGTTACGCAAAGTCCCAACGCAGCAGATTTATCACATGGCTGTGAGCACAGCTCCACCTTGGGTGAGTTTAAACCTATAGCAGAGATGAATTGCTGCCTCAACATCATTGATCATCCACCGAGCAGGCGATCTGCAGAATGGCATCGTTATCACGGCTGACTTTAGATTCTAAGATGGCGAGAGAGCTGACGGCGAGATCTGAGAAATGAAAATATTTTGTTCCGTTTTGTTCCTGAGTTCTGTGCGTAAAGGCTGGTCTAAAGTATCTTCACATCTGAACATCTGATCAAAGTTAAAACGATGCAGCTAGTCCTGAGCAGTGGGTTAGGGTTAGTTAGGAATAGTGTGTGGCTGTCAGTGTTGGGAACGTTACTCTTAAAAAGTAATTAGTTATAGTTACTGATTACTTTGTCAAAAAAGTAACTCAGTTACTAACTGAGTTACGAGATTATAAAAGTAACTAATTATCAAGAAAAATAACTACTTAGTTACTTTTTTCATTAAATAATGCAAGAAAAATGGGTTCTCCTCTTAAATAAACTTAATTTACTATAAATTACTACAATAGTGAAATATAAATGACTAATGACTGGAACATAATAAAATGTATGTGAAAATGTTTTTCATAAACCTGAATAATTTAAATAAATAAGCACTTAACAGGAGGAACTACTAACAGGAACATTACACTAATCTAGACTATATTTAACAAGACCCCAATCAGCTAAAATTTAAAATTGTAAATAGAAACACCTGTAAAGGTTCCTGAGCCTTTAAATTGTCTCATTAAATTACAGAAATAAATGTTATTTTGCACAGTACTTTAATTTTTCCAGCTTAACATAATTGTGTGTTTTTAGCAGCATTTCTGTTGCTGCTAATCTAGTTATGGTTAAATAAATAAATAAAAATCCCTTAAAATGACACTAGAAGAGGCACAAATCTAATGGAGGACTTACAAGTACTAACTTGGGTCAGACCCAACCACAGCAGAGCTGAAACTGGGTGGTAAACACACACAGGTAGTTCTAATAACACCTGAGCTCCATGACGTCTGAGACTGGTGCATCAGTGTTACAGCGGGACTAAACACATGATCAGGAACAGGTTACAGCTGGATGATCTAGGAAGGTAGAAGATCAGGACGTCTGAGCGGTGAACAGGTGAGCGGACCTTCGAGACGTCCCGCTGCCACGCTAAGAACGGCACGGCTGCAGATCCACACCTGCAGCTGTGGAGTTTTCATCACGTCTTCCTTGTTCTTGATGCGCTTGGATGAAAACATCTGCCTCTTTAGCTCCTGATCAGCTGATGACAGCTTCAACACACTGCGCAGTTTAACGCACGCTTTTTCTTTTGATAAAAGAAGACGGTAATCAATTAGTTTGCTCGTTACTGAAAAACTAATTTTTTTTAGTAACGCGGTTATTCTAAACGGCGTTATTCCCATCACTGCTCTGTTAGGTCTACAGCAGGCAGTGACTGAGACACTGAGGGTCTCCGCCCACCTGGCCAATCATCATCGTGTTTGTAAGTGTGTTACCGACACCTCTCTCTCCCTGGCTGCAGCTGAAATGTGGCGGTCAGAAAGCCTCACTCTGCTGCTCAAGGTTCGACAAGCACATAGTAATGCACAACCTTCCGTCCCCAGTAACAGTAATGGCGTTGCAACAGTGGGAAAAGTAATTAATTAGATTATTCCGTTACCTAAAAAAGAACGCCGTTAGTAACGTCGTTCCTCCCAACACTGGTCCTGAGTACTTAATGGCAATATCTGATTTGCAACATTCTCACAGTAATTGAATTTCTAGTAAGGACTTTGCCTATGACTTTAGAGTAATGAATTCAGTTTGCCATCTTCCCACGATGCTTTGTCACTTGCACACACTCAACAGTAGTTTTAACCCTTAGGGGGTGGTGAGCTGAGGAAGTGATGTAAACCTGGATGTTGACCTGCAGTAACAGAAAACAGGAAACTGACACAGGACGTCTGAGGGTCGCGACTTTTACCGTGCACTCTCCGCCTTCCTGCTCATGCACTGGTGGAGGAGGAGGTAGTCCTGAGGTGCGCTGTTGGACAGGGAGCCGTGGTGCGAGTGGCGCACAGGCACATCGAAGGTGAAGAGCACCGGCTGGCTGGAGTGGATGGGCACTGATGGTTTACGTTCTCCGCTCACAGGAGCCACCAGGCCAGAGACATCTGCCCCAACGGAGCGAGGCATATGGTGCAATCGATTCTCTGCAGACATAAGACATTGGAGGAATTAATCAGTTACAACAAATGTTTTGTTTTTCTCAATTTTTTTCTGTTTTGTAGTGAGAACTGTTAAAAATAACCAGTCAACTTATAACCCCTTAAAAAATCTGTATGTCATGAGCTTTGAAGTAATAAGGTCACTTCTGAGGGTTTAGGGTCTTGTAGTCATTACCCTTTAGTCTGCACTGTGATCGATACAAGAGAATGATCTGTCTGGGGGGGGGGGGGGGGGGGGGGAACGACAGAAAACGGCATCCTCCTGCATTTAGAGCAGTAGAGAGCCTGTGGTTGATCAGCACATGATCCAAGCCATCCCTTTGAGCCAGGGTGATTGTATTTGTTTGATTTTATTGCGCCGACCATTGTTTTGCAGAGCAGGGCGGTGTGAACAATGCAGAGCTATGGTCTTACTGTCTCTGTGTGACATCCCTCAATTTTTCCAGCAACGACAAAGAAAAGACAAATCTGAGATGAGGATGTTGGAAATGGACTGGGCAGGAGGCCAAAACAAGGAGGTGCTCAGTGAGCAGAGAGTGGGGCGGTCTACTGATCTATCGACCTATGGTGCTGTGTGCAACAGTAGCTGAGAGAGACGAGGGAACGATTTGGGGGGGAAAAAATGAAGCTAATTTCTCTCTTTTGCTGTTTGGTAAATGCAAGGACTGTAGGGGAAAGTCAACAGAATGTTCTGGAGTTCTGATTATCTTGTTGGATTGAATGTGGAAAAAAAAACAGGGAACATGTACAGTACGAATTTCGGAGTCACAGTCTGTAACTAAAATAATTTTATAAAATAAGCTCTGATTCATCACCCTGCCACTTAGAAAAAGGTTGGAGCTGGAAAAACACAAATGTGTTGCATGGACATGTACGTACGTGTGGGGCAGTTGGAAGGCCTGGATCGTGGAGTCCAGTTGGCTGAATGAGGCCACATTCATGCCTGAGGGGGGGAAAGCCTCTGCTATGAGGTCTACAGGCCAGTGGACACCAGTGAGATGCCCCGACCCACAGCAACACGAACAGGGACTCCCCCCCCTCCTCAGTGATCCTCAATTACACCATTGTTCTGAGTGATTCCATTCTCCCTGGGCTGGTTAGGCTCCATCTCCTTTCTCCACAAAAAGCTTTGCAAAAGCTTTCATCTAGTGTGCTGAGTACTAGCCCCTCTAATATGGGTAGATATATTGATTTGTTGTCAAAAAAGGTCTGCTGCCCCACCCTTGTTATGGAGAGCTGCTATGCAAAACACAAACTAGGGTTATAATGAAGCAGAAAGAATGGTCTACTAAATACATAAATGTAAGGGTTCTGTGGTGTTTTTTTTTTATCAGTTTGTAAAATTGTGTCAGAAATGAAGCAAGATGAAAGATTCATATCACGTCTGCTGATGAAACATGTCTCATCAATGACGGTTATGGGTCTGATGTATGTTGCCAATGGAGGACAATTCCAAAGACTCTGCTCCGAAAAAAGCAGAAAAATAAAAACGATGGCCCACTCTCAAAAAAACTTCACGTAATATCCCTCTATACTCACTAGAAGCACTCAGTGGTGAGATGTAGTGGTTCAAAAGTAAAATGTTAAGATGAGCAGTGGTGCCCTGAGAAATTATTCATGGGGGGCCAGGGAAAATGTCGGGGTGGCACACCAAGTTTAGCCTGTGGCTGTGCATTGCATTGCTCCTTCATTCTTTTTCACTAAAAATCAAAATGCATCAAATGCATTTACCTGCAATTTGATGAAAAAACATTTCATAATTAAAATTTCAGATTTTTTTTGATTTTTAGAAATTTTTATTAGTTTAAAGCATGTTACTGTTTTCAAAAAACATGGAGATTTATTATTGTTTTGAAAATGATGAGCAGCAGCAACTTATATACTTAGCTTTTTTTAAATTGTTTAAAGCTGCAATGGCAAATTTAGAAAACAAATTGGCTTTAAACATTTTTTCATGCCTTCTAACAATGTTCTGACATAATATAACTATAATTATTAAGATTAATAAAGTAGTTCTCTCGTGTTTGTCTGAAAACTTCCACCAATAACAGGTTTCGGACCAAAAGTAACTATTGGACCTTCTGGTTGTCCTCTTGCTGAACCACTGCACTTCCGCACTTCCCTGGGTCCTCCATTTATTACGCACTAGCGTTGCTTAGCAACACAACACCGCTGGTGTGAGAGGTTCTCCACTCAATAATATCAGAGAAAGAGAACCAGCCAGCTGCTTCCAGTTCAACTTTAGGACAAACTACTAGAGTCTCAAAAAGAAAAACACAATTTGAAGGCACAGACAACAAAGACGTTTGGACCTAGAAAACAGCAACTGGTGTTTAGCACCATTTCGTTCACTCTGGCAATGTGGGGTTCCAGCAGAAGTTTCTCAGGAAAGATACCCGAGAAATTGTGATCGCGTTTGCATTCCAAACCTAGCTTGATCTGTAGATTTGCTGTAGCGGTTTTAAATTACTTGTTTGTTTGTTTTTACTCATTATTTATATATTTTATAGGGTTTCACATCTATGTCTTGATCAAAAATTAAGTATTTATGGTTTGTGTAAACATGGATATGATTTATTAAAAAGAGGGGTTCTTCCCTGGGGCCCAGCAATTTTCTAGTGAGGGGGGCTTTGCCCTCCCTGGTCACCCACTGGGGGTGCCACTGTTTATAAGGATGGATCCAGAAAAAATAAACTGCATGAGCAACATGCCATCAGCAGGAGCAGATTGGATTTAATCACCTCAAAATATAAACGTATACCAAGGTGTCTTAATTAAAAAGCACTTTTTTAAATCACCATTTCTCCATCACGAAGTGATCAAACAACACAAAGTGGTGTATCAAAAGAAGCCCTTTCATTGGTGAGTGAGATCCAACTACTCTGGGTCAAAGAGCTCCAAAGTTCATGAGCAATTTTCCAATTGGGCTCTATAATACATCACCTTCTGTCTCATTGGCTCTGTGGCCATAATCTAATAAAAGCTAGCTGCTGGTCTCACAGGGCCAAAATTAGAACTATGCTGCATCACTCATGACAAGAAAGTCTTTGTCGGGCGCTCATTTCCTCCCAGTCTGGCCAGGATTAGATGAGAACATACCCTAATTTGATCTCAAATTAGACATAAAAATATAAATCGTCTTCTAACCATTTGATAAGAAAATAAAGTTTTTTTTTTATTTTGTTTTTGTCGTCAGCCCAGTGCTGACATCACTTAAAAATTCTATCAAGGATGATAACAGAAGGCACACTCTGTCCAGCTGCCTTTAAATTTGGGTTCTACCAAATGCAATTTTCTTAATGGATCCTTAATAGGTTGCTCTTAAATGTATAACCCTATGACTCGAACAGCTACAACGAGAGCTGCTAATTAACCTCACTTCTGTATGGTTCTTTTAGGGTGGCCTGATATTGAGGGGGGCTCTCTGGGGACACAAGGGTGATGCAATTGACTTAAAGAATCTTTACTATAATGAAAGAGATTTTAACATTAGTTGTTTTTTGTTCCTGTGCCCTACTACCACCACGTCTCTCCCCCGCCTCTCCCTGGCCTGCAGCATCACGTGACCACCACCACTTTATGGAGCTAGGATTGGGACAATATTCAGCGTAACTTGTACCAAGTTTTGTAACTTTGAACATGTTTCATCACATGTAACTTTGGATTCGTAACTTGTTACTTTAGTTTTCTAACTTGTAATTCTCAATTCGTACTTGTATTTCTTGTTTTGTAACAGGAAATTTTCATTTTGTACATGTATTTTTTATTTTGTAAAATCAAACTTTTATTTTGTACATTTATTACTCATTTTGTAACATCAAACATTCATTCAGAAACATGAAACTTTTGTTTTGTAACTAGCAGACTTCCAAATTGAAAAAATCAAGGTACAAGTTTGAAATCAAAACTCTCAAAACACACATTTCATTCTACAGGTACAAACCTCAAATCTACAGTGTTACGAATCTTTTTGTCTCGATTCTAGCGTCAGTGGGAGGAACTTGGGTGGGACCAATGAGAGCACGAGTCTTAGCTACCAATCACATTTCTCAAATTCCTGTCCAATCATTGGGAGAGGAGGGCAGAGTTCTGTCAGAGCTGTAGAGAGAGTTACGACACGGAATGCGGGAGTCACGTGGTTCATGTAGCTTCGAATAGTTCCACACGGCCCCCGCTGCTGCATTGACTGCAGTTCATTTTCGGTGTTTCGGAAGGATTTTCTCTGGTAAGTTGATGAAATATCATCATTTTGTTGCATTGTGAAGCGTTAGCTAACCGCTTCGCACCAAAATAAGTCCACGATGATATTTTATGTTGCCAGTTTTAGCTAGATAACCTTTAATGAGGTAACTATGTGCAGCGTGTTGGTTGTGAGCAGGAGGACGAGCTGTAGACGGGTTTATTTCAGCTTGTTTGATTCTACGTTTTAAAAATATTCCCCCCAGTTTGAAATAGGTTATAAACTTTTTACATTATTAGTTTTATTTGGGATTTTTTGTACAATACGTTGCTGGTTGCTGTATCAACATGAACATGCATCAGAAATGGAAGCACAAATGGAGAGACCAATAATAAAGAAAATGTGATTGTGAAGACAAGTAATTATTTAATATTTTTCAGTTAATAACACTGACTGCAACAAACTGCTGAAGCATGAGACAAACAGGATTAAGAACGTAAGAAGATATGTTCTGTTTTGTGGACTCAAGTAATAAGAATAAAATTACGATATTTCAAGAATAGTAGTCGGACAATAACTTTTGAAAATTAGATATTTTCCATAAAACTGCTCATTTCCACTTGCTTTATAATATTAGCATTTCCAATTTAGTTATTAAGGAATAACAACAAATAAGAATTAACAATAACACAATTATCAATAAATAAATGTCAAAGAGTTACTAAAACAAAGATCTTAGGTAACCATTAAAGGTTAAATTGTGTTGTGTCCATCTTCATGTTTTCATAGTGGCTGAGCGGAGAGC